CGCCCGCCTTCCTGCAGTTGTCGCATGAAGCAGATCACGCCTGCCCCTCAGAGCCGTGGGAACCAGGCGACATGGCGTAGCCGAGTGCCCGGCACAGTTTCTGCCGTGGGGCGGGTGCTGGTAACAACAGTGCTGTTGATGGAAAGCGGCTTGGCCAGCATGGCTGTGCCACCCACAGGGCTCGTCACGGTTCCCATTCAGTCTGCAGGCACCGGTGGTGTGTCCCCCTGGGCAGGGTGATTGAGGTGGTCCTCCAAGCCTTCTGCTTGTCCCCAGGGCCTGTGCAAGAGCTCTAACGCCAGGGCTTCTCTTCCTGAGGTCCTGTTGCCCTGCATGAATCCCTGTGTTTCCTGCAAACGATGCTTCCTCCTGCTGGGAGCAAGCCCTGAGGACGAGCTCATCTTCTGGCATCTCAGGGAAGCGTGCTTTAGTGGCACCAAAGCAGCGGCGTTAGTCATCTGGACCAGTAGGGACGACGGCACTGCAGGGGTTAAGAAGGTGGGCGCAGGACAGACGTACTTGGTCTAGTCCCATCTTGTACTGATGTATGTTCCTGGGCAAGCTGTGGTTTCCTCGGCTGCAAAATGCGAATAATTGTAGTGTGTGTTTCACTTAACCCTTCCGCGAGGATTTGGGGGTTGGGGGGAGCTTCCACATAAGACCTTCCCGGAAGCCTCTACTCAGTGCTGCCTCCTCCATGAAGACTTCCCAAATGCACCGGTTAGATGCTCTCTCCCCTCTTCTAAATACTAGTAGGGTTCCTTTCGTAGGGGGCGGATCCCATTCTGCCCTGCATCATGGTTATTGGTAGCCTTACTTTATTTCACTGGCTGAACGAAGTGCTAAAACCAGACGGCTCCCAGCCAGCTCCTGCGCCAGGCCCTCCGGGAGCTGGGCCTGCTTTACCTCTGCCACCTGATCCTTCCCGAGCCCCGTGCCTGCAGCTCTCAAAGCTCCTGTGTGTGCGCCCAGGGTCTCTCTACCTGGAACGCTCCCGCCCTGGACTTGCCTCCTCAAGTAGCGATTAGCACGACTGAAGAATTCCCAGAATGTAAAAGTGCTTTTGAAAGCGCCAAGAAACTGGCAGCTGCCCACGGTCAGTCACTGTTGGGTGAGTGGATGGTGTTTTGACAAAAACTGGAAATCCTCCACTGTGTCGATGGCAACAAGCTGGGCTCCCCGTGGCCCGGGGTGGGTGACTCGGCGGCCAGCTGCTTTCCCGCAGCCTCGAACCCCAGAGCGCACGCTGCTGAGGCCCACGCGGCCGCCGTGGGAGGCGAGTGATCGGAGGGACTTGGGCCGCCTCGCTCCCTCTGAATGGCCCTCTTTCATCAGCATGCGCAGGGACAAGGGCCTTTTCAGCCCAGACATCGGGGAAGACGAGAGTTCCACAAGAGCCATTTGCTCTCCGGGTGGGGACGTCGTCCGAGGACGAGGACTCCTTGCTGAAGGACTCCGGCCTCGCGCTCACCTCTCAGCCTTCTCCGGAGACCCTGGGAGGCCTGTGACCCCGACAGTCATGACCCTGTTCCCTTTCACCGGCTTCTGCGTCTCCCTTCAGCCACCTCCTCACTTCTGCTCTGCAGGGGTTTCCAGCCCAAATTAGTGCGTATCTCACCTCTGGTTTCTCTTTTCCTACCGCGTCTCGGTGTCTGGATGACTGGCTGTTTACGCTCTGAGGGCTGGGGGATTTTGAGGAGCAGCGGTTGAGGTTTCTCTCTGTCTTCAGTGCGTCGTCGTAGAAACTTGAATCCCGCGTCATCGTCTGAGGCCAGTGTGGTCTGGGAGCATGTTTACGCCCTGGAGACAGCAGCGTTGAGGGTGGGGGTCGGGAGGGCAGGGGCTGGCTTTGTTTTCAATTCCTGATTTCTTCTTGCAGCGACAGAGGAAGACAGTTCAGTTTTGTTTGTCTGGGTCTGACCTTCTGGAGCTCTGGTCACTCTGTTCAGGACACCAGCATCTTTGAGGCGATGGCTGGTGTCTTTTGCTCCCAGCCCTGAGCAGCTGGGGAAGCGTGTGTGCCCTTGCCCAAGTGCACTTGTTAAAGGGCTTCCTTCCCCACAGGGCGCCTCGAGGCTGGGGAACCAGGGTGCAGCGCCCCTGGGTATGAGAAGCCGGGCCGAGAGCCGCCCGCACGGAGCCCTGGCAGCCAGAGGGAGTGTTCGTGTCAGCCAGCCAGAGGGTGCGTGAGGCTCTGGTGCAGTGAGCACAGACCCAGAGACGGGAAAAAGGGTCACGGAGAATGTCTGCATCTCATTTGTGTGAATCCTGTGACGGCCCTGCTCCGCGGCCTCTTGGCCCCGAGAGGCATCTTGGGTGGCCATCCCGGTGCTGCATCCGCTCACTGTCTCCCCAGGCGCAGGGCGAGGGCACCGGCTCGGGATAATGTGTTCCCTGGGCTCCCCTGCGGCTTCCAGCCTCACTCTTCCAGTAAACGCCCGTGACTGATTGCTGGGAGGAGGACAGAGGCCGCGTGTTCCTGGCCGGCCGCACAGCCCCCAGACAGCTGAGTGCACGGCACGGGAGGCTCCGCGCTTTATCAGCCTCGGGAACCCTGGGGCCCGGCTGGCCTCCTCAGTGATCACAGGGATCCTAGGGTAAAACCGTCCTATTCTTTTGCATTGTTCCCCTTTCTTTCCAAAGGAAGCGTGAGGGAAACCAAGGGGAATTTTCGCCCATGATTTCCAAGGCAAAGGTCACCGTTAATGGCTGGCTGTTTCCAGAGTCCTCGGGTTTCTGGTCAGTATGGATTTTTGTTTTTCTTTTTCCTTTTTTTTTAAAACTCCTGAACAAAAGAGGCTGATGTCGCCTTGCAAAGATTTTCCCCAGCGGCTTTGACGAACTGATTGTTACGTTTCGTGGGTTCGGGAGTCCGTCGGGCAGCTCTTCCAGGTTTTGCTGAGAGAAGGTAGTGAGCGATCTGGGTCTAAAACGGAACAGTTCTGGAAACAGACGTGGTTGTGGAAGTTTAAGGCAGGAGAGGGCGACAGGTGGGAAGGGTCGGAAGGCGTTGGGCGATTCTGCCACCTGCTACGTTGAGACAGCCTGGATTCCAGATGGGCCAGAGGGGCGCCAAGCGCTTCTCGCTGCCCATGGGTGAGAGTGGGACAGCGAAGAAAGGGTGCTCCCATCACTCACGCCCCAGGCTCCGCAACACATGTCACTTGCAGCGCAAACACGTGACTGGCAGATGGGAAGGATGGCTCGGCGGTGCGCTCGCGGTCATGAATAAGGAAGCGTTGTGCAGATGTCAGGTGTTGGTGTAGGAAATCCATGAAGCCAGGTATCAGCAATGCAAAGGCACCAGTAAGGAAGGCAGGGCGAAGCCTTAGTGTTTGGTGTCTGAGCGGTCACTGCCTTTAGCATGGGGGTTCAACCGGGAAAACTAACAGGTTTGATTACGGACTTCCATTCTAGAAGATAACCGTTGTTCTGATTCCTGGATCTGCTGGCTTCCATGTTAGCTTGTGTGGTGAGTTTTCTTAGCACCTCGAGTTACATCCCTTAGCTGGGTGTTCTATTCCAGGATTGGAACGTTCGACTACTCACCTTAGGTGTCTGGGGCAGAGGCGATCTTGCTTTTTTATGTGACAGAAGACGTTGTTATGTTTCCGTCAGGAGTGGATTTGCTCTCTGTTAAAACAAGAAAAAAGGTGCTGCAGGGTTTTTAAAGATTTTTCCCTTCAAATGATTTACATGTTAATTGGTTGCTCAAGAGAGAATTAATGATCTTTACAGTTTCCTAAAATTTGAACTGTGATCCTCTCTCTCAAAATTAATAAAAATAAAATGTGTTTTTTGTTATGAGTACAATGTATTCTGTTACTTTGAAAATCCAACAAAAATAATGTTTTTAAAAAGTTAGTATTTGTTTGCTGTAGGAGATTTGGAACATACAAAGGGGTAGAAAGAAGATAATCATGGATAGCTCAACCCCTCAAAAATACTGTTAATAATTTTGGTATATTTTATGGGTAGTTTTCAGAGTTTATGGAATTTTTGAGTAATTCTACTAATTAATAGATAATACAGTCTATCAATTTATACAGTCTTAATTTCTCCATCAGCAAAAGGATTTTGGGGGCATTTGGAAATCTTGAAAAATGTTTAATTGCAAATTTTCAGCTATAGGTTGAATGTAAATGTGTTTTTTTTTAAGATTTCACTTATTTTTGGAGAGAGGGGAAGGGAGGGAGGGAGAGAGGGAGAGAAACATCAATGTGTAGTTGCCTCTCGCACACCCCTACTGAGGATCTGGCCCTCAACCTGGGCATGTCCCCTGCCTGGAATTGAACCAGTGACCGTTTGGTTTGTAGGCCAGCACTCAGTCCACTGAGCCACACCAGCCAGGGCTGAATGTAAATGTTATTGGTAGTTGAAATAACAAAGGACCAAAGATACATTCTGCTCCAAAATTCACTGGGTCAGGTTCAGGTTCTCTGCGGCAACAGTGGACAGAGCAACCTTGACTAACTTACATCACAGGTCAATTGCCACTCACTTTTCTTAAGATGCAAACAAACAGTGGAAGCGTCATTTCCCCTTCCTTGGGTTCCATCACAGGAAGGCACCAAGAAGCGGTCAAGTTGTTAAAAGTCGTGGAGTCAGAAACAAGAGGTCAGCAGCAAGACTTAAATGCACAAAGTGAATCACCCTGTCCTAACCCGAGAGTCAGCCCCTATTTTTAGAAGATGCCGTATTACAGTGCCGTCCCTGTACAGTACCCTGCAGGAAAGGGCTCTTGGCCCTGGAAGAGCCCACGTAAAACCTCGGGTGTTTTAGCAGAAGCATTCTTTCGTCACACAAACTCCCCAGGAGCAAGCTTGCAGCTAAGGTTTGGGGAGAAAGACCGTTATGTGAAGTTTTGATAAAAGCTGTTTTATCCCATTTGATTTTTATATGCTGTTTGTCCGCACTCCAGCTTTGCCTCTGGAGCATGTCCTGGCCCGTTTTCCTCTCTGAATTCCAGCCTAACTGTGCCCGGGTTTTCTTCTTCCCAGCGTAAGCGAGAGCTTTTTCATGGTGAAAGGAGCAGCCCTCTTCCTGCAGCAGGGGAGCAGCCCTCAAGGCCAGCGAAGTCTTCCGCACCCCCACAAGCACGCAGGTAAACTGGTGTTCTCCCACTGGAACGTACTTTCTGTGCTGCTGGGGGGGCTTCCCGTCGGCGGTGGTGAGCTGTCTGCTGGGTGTCGAGGCCAGAGCCGTGGCGGGACCAGCTAGTAATGCAAGCCCTTGCTCGTGCAGGCGGTCCACACGTGTTTTCCAGGTGGCACTGGGAGCGGGCGGCCCTTTTGAGTGCCTGTGTCTGCCTCACAAGTAAGGTGGTCAGTAGCGTTTGGTTTGGATGTGAAGATGTCCTACTCAGAGTTTATCAGTTAACTGTATATTTTAAGTTGTAGTACGATTTTTTAAACAAATGCACCAGAAGGCATTACAGCCTGGTGGTGTCCCCATGAAGCCAGCCACCTTGGGGTACTACGAACCTACTCTGGAGATGCTGTCATTTCTCTGAGCATTTGGAAAATTTCTTGCTTTTGGGGTTTTTTTTCCACATTCTCTACAATCCACTACTCTTACAGTTAGTATCAAAAGGAAAAAAATCTGTTTTTATAAAAGGCAGTGAAATGAAAAAACAGCAGTTATTAAACTTTGCCAAGACCATCTAAAAAGAAACAAAATTTAGTGACACATTTGACGTGAGCCACCAATGCCTACCTAGCCTCACAGAGCGCCGTGTGTCCACACTGTGCATCCCCCCCTCCCTTCTTCCACCCCATAGCTGGGAGGAGAGGGTACCCGTGGACAGAACTCACGGAGCCCTCATTTCTTAGCCAGGGGCAGGGGAAACCCCAGTGCCAACCAGAAGAGGATTCCTAGCTGGTCTTCCAGTGGAACAAAGCCATAAAGTGTGTTGTCTTGGGTGTTGAGCCTATAGGTGATAAAGTTTTTAAATTCTTGTTTCCAGATTTTCTATAACGGGATGTATTACTCTTACAATGCAAAGAGAGCTCCAGCCAGCCTCGTTTGGGGAACTTACTTATGAGCCTTTGTTTGACACACACTGAGATGGGATGTCTCTATTTTTAATGGTGGATTTGGTTCGGGGACGCAGGGAAGTGATAAAGTAGGGGTTGAACCTAGTACTACTTTAGGTCCAAAAGCAAACAAATAAGGAATGCCTATAAAGTAACAGGCCTGGTTTTCTTCAGTGACTTGACTCTGAAACCAAAGGCAATTTGAGAAGAAGAATTCAGAAAACATTTGTGCACAAGTTGACCTTTGTAACAGGTGGCGGCCTCTCCAGGTGCTTCTTGGACAGGCCCCACACACCTGAGCGTGAGCTGGAAAGGCCCCGCACGCCTGAGTGTGAGCTGGACAGGCTCCGCATGCCTGAGCGTGAGCTGGAAAGGCCCCAGACTCTCAGACGACAGGGGAAAGCCACCGCACTTGAGGCCAGTCTTCTTGTCACTTCGATCACTTTGTTGGTCTGACCTCTGGTCATCCAGCCTCACTTTGGATCTGAGGGCCTCGATTAGAATTTCGTCTCTTATAATTCGATAGCAAACACCCAGGGCTCAACCAACAGTTTCACGTGATGATATTTATAATCAAGATTCAAGTCTATTTTAAGCCAGGAAAATAGTCGTCCTGCACAAGGAGGCATTGTGGTTCGGGGAAAGAACACATGCTTCGGAGCCAGGCAGGCCGGCGTCCGGTCCCGGTTCCGCAGCTCACTCTGCTGTCACCGTCAGCCCCTGAACCTCGGTTTCCTGGTCTTTGCGGTGGGTGCCAGGGACCAGAACCTCGGAGGGCGTGGACATCCAAATTCACGCGGGTAGCACACTTGCCTCCCTGTAGGTGCTCAGTTGTGGTAGCTGTGACGGTTACTGCGATGGCTCCCAGTGCCACAAGCCCATCCACAGAACCTTTGCTCTTGAATTTGCCAACGGTTTTGCCCTGTTAAGGGTTTAGTCATTGTCATGAACAATGCTCAGGCTTTGTTCGCTCGGTGTGAGTCTCCTTCCTCTGGATCAGACAGTGCGTGCACAGTGCGTGAGAGCAGGAGGAAGTCAGTGCAGAACCGTTCTGCAGAAGCCCTGAGTCAGGCTGGCTGGTGCATCCGCTGAATGTGCGTGAGAGGAGGAGGAAGGCCACTGGCTTGTCGGCTCTGTGCCCCTGGGGTCTGGGGTGGCTGGTGAGCTCAGAAAGGCAGCGGGACCGCAGACTGTCCCTGGGTGCCCCACAGCCCCCTCAGTAATCGCCGTGCAGAGCTAAGTACCAGAGCTGCAGGTGAATTCTGTACACATAAAAGTAATCCAGTTCGTGTCAGCCAGCCCAGTCCCTCTGAGACTCTTCCTGGGACTGAGCTCTGTGCTTCTCTGCTCTGGTTTTTGTGCAGGTGCCTGGCGAGCACGCCAGCGTGTGGGGACTGTGTGTGGACGCCAGGCTGGGGTGGGGACGTTGGCCAACAGTCCCACACCTCCATGAGCCGTCCCGCGGAAAGGAGTCCCTCTGCACAGAGTGTCCCCTTCCTGTAGGCGCCCGTCTGACACGGGGCTGCTTTCGCTTTCATTCACGTGCTTTGACTCGGAGTGGGTAGTCTCGGGGCGTGGGTAGTCTCGGGGTGCAGGCAAGCCAAGGACCGGCATGGTGGCTGTCAGCTCTTGTGGCACTGGTGACAGGACAAGCAAGGGTACCCTTAGGCAGAGGGAGGGGATGGGGCCCTGCGTCCTTCTTTAAGTGAGTCCTGACCTGCAGGTCATCCCTCCCGGGAAGTGGTGCCAGTACAGGGCCCTGTGCCCCGCGGGACCCTGTAATGGAGCGAACAGACAGGAGGGGCAGCTTGCTTTTTTAAAAAATGTTTTCAATTAAATTTTACATTCAGAATCATCCTGTATTAGTTACATACAAACAGCAAAGCGGTCAGAAAGTCATGTACTTTACGGAGTGGTTCCCCTCAGCCCCATACCTATTTATTTCCACATGATTGACTGTATGCCCTGGGTTGTAATGCACATACATCTCTGCGGCTCCTCTGTGGCTGCCAGTTTGCACTGCTTCATCCCATCCCCTTGTCACCAGACCGCCAACCGCCCCCCTGCCCCCCTGCCCCCCCCGCCCCCACCGACAGCTGTCAGTCTGTTCTCTGTATCTACGAGTCTGTTTCTGTTTTGTTTGGTGCCTTATGTTGTGAGGGGCAATTTCCTGATGACCGGATTCCTCTCTGGGGCGGGAAGTACAGCTTGGACATCACATATCAACCTGCCCTAAAACTTAAAAGGTGCTTTTGCCAAAGGAATAACTTCAGTGTATTGATCCTGCTGGGTCTCTAGTTGTGCTCTGTAGGGTGATTTTTTTTTATAAAAAAAAGAAGATAATTCCATTCCTTAGGGCAGTAGTTTTCAACCATGTACTGCAGGAAACCTGTCTGTTTAGTCAGGGACACTGGCCTGTCTTCCTTGAGGCTGTCAAGTAAAAAAAATGACAACAGCCAACACAATAGCTGTCCAGTGTGAATGAATCAAAATTTTACTTTTTTTTTCAGGTTGGCAAAAAATACATTTTTTTAGTGTGCCGCAGAATTGTAGTAATTAGTCTGTGTGTGCCATGAGATGAAAAAGGTTGAAAATCACTGCCTCGGGGTGTTGCACAAAATGAAATTAATGCAGATTTTTCCTTGCATTTTTCTACATCACCATCTTTACAGATGAACCTTTTCTTCAGGAAGAAACCCATGCAGACATTTTTTTTTAAAGTACAAGTGAGAAGAAAAGCAGCGTTGGGGTCACACTTGCTCCTTTACTGACTAGGAAGTTCGGTTTCCGGGGCCCCACTGCCTGAAAGGCCCAGCTCCTCTTTCCATGGGGCTGGTCCCACGTGGCCTCGGAGACTGACCGCCTTCCCGCCCTCCCCAGCCAGGGGGCGCCGCTGCACCCTGGGGCCACTCAGAGAAGCTGGGAACCTGGCCCTGGATTGCTGCCTCTTTTAAATAATGGGGGTAGGAGGGAGTGTGTAATTTTTAGCAAGCAAAGAAAAAATGGCAGCTTGCTGTCATTTCTCTGGGCCCTCGGCCTATTGTCTGTAGAGTCACTTAGGGCCCCCCCCCCACCCCAGCTCATGGAAGTCCCACCTCGGACGGACGGCAGATGCAGGAGAGCTGAGAGAGGGACGGTGGCGCCCAGTCCCGTCCTCCCGCCTTCAGACAGCTCACCGCCGGCCCCTCCTTCAGCTGCGTCCTGGGTTCCTGCCGCCCTACCCTGCAAAATGACGTTCGCTTGAATTTAATGATATTTCCATTCCAGGCTTGTCTGTATTTGCCACGTTTTGTATTTAAAAACCCATATAAGCAAGTATTTTGGAAAATAAAAGTCACTTTTAAAAACAGCAAAAAGCTGTCTCTCACTTGTGCTCATGATACTGTTCGGGAGCGGGGTGAGAGCGCCGAGGCTTGTGTTTTGGGATGTTCCCCTGCGGTGGAGGGAGAGGGGTGTTCACCCCCAGGTCTTCCCTCAGGCCCGTGAGACCCCCTCTCCCAGGTTTCTTCCTGGGAACAGGTGGGCGGCCCTCTGAAACTTTCTCCATTGGTCCGATAGGTGACTTGCCCCAACACCTTCAAGTGATGATCAATCTCCTGCGATGTGAAGACAGAATCAAGCTGGTAAGAAGAGACGAGAGTGGCAAGTTTGAATTTTTAATTGTGAAATGTAGTAGGGCATTACGAGCAATGGGTGTGGTGGGGGGTGGGGGGTGAGTTCTGCGATTTAAAAATCCCCCCAAGTTGTTAACGAAAGCCGAAGCGGAGTTTGCTCCTCGGCGCCTGGGAGGCCCAGGGGAAGGATGCGTCAGGGGCCCGTGTCAGTCTGTGCTAAGTGGGCACCTTCGTTCTCCGGATGTTACCATCCACCCATTTAACCAACGTGGGGAGGGGTCTCCTTTGGGCCGGCCCCGTCCCTTGTGCTGGGGGTATAAGAGGGATGTGGCTGCTGTGTCTAAGAATCTCATCTTGGTTCCTAAACTCACAGGGGGAAAGGTAGAAAACAGAAGCCCTTGACCTTGGTTGGGCGAGGGAGGGGGCCCCAGCTGGAGAGGCAGCCGGTGAGAGCATCTCTGCCTGCGCAGGCCGTGCGCCTGGAGAGCGCCTGGGCGGAGCGGGTGCGGTACATGGTGGTGGTGGACAGCAGCGGGCGGCAGGACACAGAGGAGAGCATCCTGCTGGGCGTCGACTTTTCCAGTAAGGAAAGGTGAGTCTGACGGGACGGCGGCTCCCTTCTGTGGCGGGACAGCAGTTGCTGCTGGAAAAAGATCGGCCCGGTCCCATACCCTCAGGAGATGACAGTGGGATGGGTGATGGCAGGTGGTGGGGTGATCGGGCACCACAGAGCACGGCATTTCAGCTCTCGCGTGCGGGTGCTGTGCTAGATCCTGCCTCTGCTCTCCGAGCTCAGGGTATGCTGAAAGGATAGAAAAGCTACGCCGTGCTTAGAGCTCTAACACTGGGTGCTCTAGAAAGGGCATCTTAGCCTGGAGGGCTTCCTGAAGGAGGTGACAGCTGTGGTGAACACCCAGGTAAAAGCAGGGACCATCCCAATGAAGCAGGGAGGGTGCCACCCCAGCAGACCAGCCCACGTAAGAAGTATGTGCTTGATAGGCAGCATATCAAGTGCCTTATCCAGCAGGGCTGTCCCACTGATTCCTAAGCACTGGCTGACAGGTCCTGGGTCAGAGGCTTAAAGAGAGGTTTGGAATTTCCCAATAACTAGAGGCCAAGTTCAGGATATCATAGACCCTATTATTTTTCTGAAATGAAGGCAAACGGTTCTTCTTACATCTAGGATAAGTTAATACATGTGAGACCATTGCAAAGCCTAGATTTGTTAAAACCAGATTAAAGTGACTCCCTTTAGTCATCGTTCATTAATCTGCTGATTCATTAAGCAAACAATTTGCTTGCATTCTCCTGTGCATGAGACAATAGGCCAGGCCCAGGTAAACAAAGAACAACAGCACACACAGTCTTGGCCTCAGAGAGCCTGTACGCTCCGTGAGGAAGGAGAGAGCCGTGATCAGAGATGCTGGCTGGTGGGCTCAGTGATGCAGAGACACGTGGGGGGTGCTGAGAACACAGGAGAGGGATTGGCTGTAAAGGGGCCATGCCAAAGGCCTCTGGAGCATGTGGTGGCTAAGCCACGTCTTAAAGGACGACTGGGCAGTATGGCAAGTTCAGGAGCAGGGACGTGTTGGTTTGGGACCTCCTTGCCTCACCCTAGCACTGACATAGCCACGAAGCTCCGGGAGCTACGAGTCTCAAAATAAGTTGTATTATGCAGCTCTGCAGAGGAAATAGAGTTAGCCCATCAAGAACGGGCAGGACTGTAGGGTGGGACCTGGGAATTGGCCTAACCCGAAAGGCTTAGTCTGCTTTTACCCGAAGGACTTAAAACTCCCTTCCCCATGGACGTAGAAGCCGAGGGTGGAGGAGTCTGGCATGGGTGCAGATGCTCTGCGAACTCAGGCGCCCTGGCCACACAGCCGCACGCTCCTAACATTACTCCCGGGCGGCTGTGCAGCGGTAGCAGAGATGTAAGCGGGAGATCCCCGGAGGTCAGCGGCGCTGGCCTTGGCTCCGTGACAACGGTTCCTCACAAGCCGACTCTTTCAAATGCCTGAAGAATGTTCGCAATAACCCGAGGAGCCCCTCTGATAAAGCCCTTTCATTCCCTCCATGTGTTTCAGCGGCGCCAGTCGCTAAAGTATCATTTCACGGTGAGGATGGGCAAAACAAAAGCAGATTAAGCTAGTTCTTAAAACAGCAGCTGCCCAAAAGGTACAGAAACAGAGGTCCAGCACCGCACTCCAGTAATGGTGCTGGCTCCCTCCCCTCCTCCTTCACCCCAGGACCGGAGGCTGGGTCGGCCGCCACCACTCGCCCATGTCCCCCAGAGTGAGTGTGGCCTTGTGCCCAGAGTGCGCCAGCCATCGGCGGCCTCACCCCTGCTGCAAGAAGGTCCTGTGGCTGGCTGCTTGCTCCGTGTCCCCTGGGAGCTACAGCTGAGACCTGGTGTTTATGGAGCTGCCACCACGCCAGACGGTGGGGTCAGAGCACCCTGTGACTGTCTCTGAGAAGGGGTCACTGGCAGCTCCCTGTAGTGGGCCGTCTCAGACCCGTGTGTCCTGGAGTTCAGGGGTGAGCAGTGCCTGCAGAGCTTCTCCCAGATACACACCCGGCGGCCAGACCCAGGTCAGGGGCTGGTCCCCTCTGTGAGCTGGGTGGGCTGGGTGAGACGCAGGGAAGTGTGGGTGAGCAGGGGGACTCCAACCCCAGGCGGCTTCTCTTTCCTCCCGCGCAGTAAGAGCTGTACTATCGGGATGGTTCTCCGGCTGTGGAGCGACACAAAAATCCACCTGGACGGCGACGGGTAAGCAGATCCCCTTGAAAGATTCTTTTCGTCACTATTAACTCTGAAACGTGAGTCGGTTTGAACATCACTGGGTAATCATCAGCAATAGAATCATGTGTGTGACGTGTTTATTGCGTCAAGGAGAAGCAATATTGCCCTCTAGGGAGCCACACCAGGAGAGGGGCATCCTGGGCATCACGCAAAGGAGTTTGGGTCGCGAACTAGCCGGGGAAGCGTATTACAGGAGATGGCTGCTGTATGAAGTTCTAGAACAGCAGAAAACTGACATTCATTTGTTTGCCCTGATATGGCAAATGATCACTCAGGACATGCCCTCCATGTGGGCTGGGCCCCAAAAGTCCACAGATACATGGGATGGCGGCGGGAGCTCAAGGTCTCGGTGGGCGCGGGGAAGGACACGCAGCGACAGGCACAGTGGTGTTCTGAGCGCCGCGCTGGGGCTGGCCCTGGGCCGGTGGGCCAGAGGAAGGGCCCTCGGGTCTGCATCCATTTGGTTCGTCCCCACTGGGATTCCGGCAGTAGACGTGATGCCGCCTCGTAGGCAGATCTGGGAGAGAAGAATAAAAATGTGATTTCTTGATAACGTAGAATTATGGTAACATTTTTCCTTTTTAAAATTTTGCCTTCCATTAACACATTTTCAGTGCACTTCCAAAAAAGATGGGATGCGTGGGGTGGAGGGTCGCAGGTAGGTTGGGACTGCCGTGGGAGCACAGAGGAGATGGCATCAGATGCCGCCACGGCCGCGCGCCCTTTGCTGGGGCCTCAGTTTTTGTAGGCTTCAGTTGCTGGGTTAGAAACAAGCCTTCTGGGATTGGGAGCCTGTCTTCCCCCTCCTTGCTTTGCCCTTGTCTGGTGCAGCCGTCCTGCAGCCCCTCATCCGACAGCGTGAGACACGTGTGTCCTCAGTGTGTCCCCGGCGGGCCTGCCCCCACTGTCTCGCAGGGGTGTGGTTAGAGGGTCTGTCTTCTCACCACGGTGTCTTTTTGTTGCTGTTTTTCACTCCTAGTGGATTCAGCGTGAGCACGGCAGGACGGATGCACGTCTTCAAGCCCGTGTCTGTCCAGGCCATGTGGTGAGTGTGGTTTTAGGGACTTTTAACTCCTGAGAAGTTGTTTCCAACATGACAGCATGACTAGAAAAACCCCTTCCACCAAGAAGCCCGTCTAGGCACATCTGATCTGCGTGTATGACAAGCGATACATAACCAACTTGCCCGTCTTAACCATTTTTAAGTGGAGAGTTCAGTGGCACTAGGACTCGCACAGTGTCGTGCCGCCGGCACCGCCGTCCACCCCCGGGACTCTTCCATCACCCCGGACAGAACTTCCCTCCCCGTTACTAAACACAAGCCCCCGACCCCTCTCCCCAGACCCCGGTAGCCTGTTCTGCAGTGTCTCTGTGGATCTGCCCGCTCCACGCCTCTCGTGTGAGTGGACCGCTTGTCCTCCCGTGTCTGGCATCTGTCCCTGAGCATGATGCTTCAGGGTTCATCCGTGCTGCGGCGTGCGTGAGATCTCTGTTCCTTTTCACGGCTGAGTGACCGCCTGTCACGTGGGCAGGCCGCGTTTGTTTATCCGTGCGTTGGTTAATGGGCTCCTGAGTCGTGACGCCGTTCGGCTGTTGCGAATGGGGCTGCAGCGAGCACCGGGCTGAGTGCCCGCTTCCGTCTCCTTTGGTTTACACCTGGGAGTGGAATTTCCAGGTCACAGGGTAGTTTCACGTTTAATGTTTTGAGGAACCACCACACTGCTCTCCGTTTATAGCCCCACCAGCAGCAAGGTGCAGGATTCCAGTCTCTCTGCGTCCTCGTCTGCGCTTGCGATCTTCTGTGGTTCTGCGTAATCGCTGTCCTAATGCGGGGGGGGGGGGGGTACCTCCTTATGGCCTGGACTCGCACTTCCCTGATTAATGAATGTTGGGCGTCATTGGATGCGCTCGTTGGCCGTTGTGTGCCCCCTTTGGGGAAGTGTCTGCGGTGTCCCTGGGCCCCTCTTCAAGGTGCTTGGTTTCTGCTGTGGAAGGCGTGTTGTCCCTGCAGGTGCACGCTCCCTCCCGACAGGTCTCGCTGCGCCCGGCACGCAGCAGGCATTCCCGTCTCTCTGCTGGGCGCTGAGCATCTTGGACAGAACTCCTGTCCACGCGGAGTTTCAAGGCTGTAGGGGGACGAGGCCATAAGCACAAAATTCCTCTGCCACTCCGCTCTGTAGTCAGTTCAGGGTCGTTTTGGGGGAAATCATGAAATCGTAATTTTCTAGATGTCCCAGCTGCTTCTTTGTATCCCTGGGTGATTTTTTTTAAATCTCTTTCTCTCCAGGCAAGTGAAAAATAGCCCTGTGTGCTTTTCCAAAACTTCTGAACCGGGACTAAATTTAGTAAATAGCTCCAGTTTCTCCCCTCCAGCAGCCCAGAGAGGGGAGCGGCGTGTGCCACCAGGAAAAGTGACGAGGACCCCAGTGGTCTGTGTGCCGTCGTCCACCCGTTCCCTGATGGCTGCCCCCCACCCGGGGCGCACTCTCCCGTCCCTCGTCGACGACGACGACGCCTGATTCACCCTGTTCGCTGGGAAATTTCCAGCCCCTATTTTTGTTAGAAGAAGTAAAACAGGAATGACTACGTTGGCCATTACGAAAAACATTTTTAATGTTGCTCCTCCTGTCCCACCTCCTTCTCAGGCCCCCTCTTCTGCTGGCCTCTGTGTTGAAGTGACTCTGGAACTCGTTTCCTTATGAATCTGAGCTGCAGGAGCGTTGCTGGGAGGGGTAGGGATGAAGCGCTTTGACTGCAGTGAAAGGTCTCCACTGCCTAGCGCTGGTTCCTTCCCTCCCATGGCTGGGCCTCACCCTGGCTCCTGCGTTCAGACCATCACGGCCTGGATGTAAATCCTGATCCTTGGGAGTTAATCAGTGCGCTGTCAAATGCAAATGAAGTGTGAGCCAGCCTGACGGGAAGAGTTAGGAAGTTTTCTGTTTCCTGTTGGGAATGGTGGAGGATGTTCCCTCTGCTCTTGGGTCAGTGCGCACGTCATGGAGACAGGCTGTGCCACCAGCCGGTCCTTCGTGACTGGCCTTCCCGGCCGCGTGTAAAAACCCCTTTGTCGGAGGGAGACCCCAGCACTCCTTCTGCCTCCCAGGCCTGACCCTCTCCCCCTCCTGCCCAGGTCTGCCCTGCAGGTCCTTCACAAGGCCTGCGAAGTGGCGCGGAGGCACAACTACTTCCCCGGGGGCGTGGCCCTGGTCTGGGCCAGCTACTACGAGAGCTGCATCGGCTCCGAGCAGAGCTGCATCAACGAGTGGAACGCCATGCAGGACCTGGAGTCCACGCGGCCCGACTCCCCAGCCCTGTTCGTGGACAAGTGAGTGTGGCACCTCCTCACCCGCTCCTGCGCCCGCCCCGTGGGGCCCTGGGTCCACACAGGGCCACACCCCCTCCCAGAACCAGCATTTTAAGCAGAGGTTCCTGGCCTGTGGCCTGTGGGTGGTCTCCGGCTGGGGGAAGGGTCTGTGACCACCACCTCCCCTTCGAAATTGCAGACACATCGGGAGTGAATGTTTTTCTGGGGAGCGGCTCCCTAGCTCCCGTCAGATCTCAAAAGAAGCACGTGACCCACCTGCGTCACTGGCTCCCGGGCAGGGCCCCATTATCATAGACTGGACTCTTAAAGCCTCTTCCTCTACCCTTTATGGTTTTTATTTTAATTTTTCAGCGACAGTTGACATTCAGTATTATTTTATATTACTTTCGGGTGCACAGCACAGTGATTAGACATTTAACGAAGTGACCCCTCTGATATTCCTAGTGCCCACCTGGCACCAGACGCGTCGCTGTTACAACACTGTTGACTGTACTCCTGTGCTGGACTCTGCATCCCTGTGACTGTGTCATAACTGCCAGTCTGCTCTTCTCGGTCCCTTCACCCCTGTTGCCCAGGTTCCCAGCCCCCCTCTCATCAGGCAACCTCTAACAAGTATTATGAATGCAACAACCAATTCCTTGGGTTCCAAAACACGAGGGCAGCCTCAGAGGCAGCAACAGCGAATCGAGTGGCCTGTGGCATGTGGCTACCGGCAGCGCTCGTGTGGCCACAGGCTGCCCCAAATTGAAACCTGGTTCCAGGAGAGGGAAGCGGCCTCCCCTTCCCTCCATCAGGCCCCTTCCCCGCAGTGTCGGGGACACTGCGTCTAAGAGGGCCGTGCGCATGGGAGCGGCCTGAGTGAGGACACTCCAGGGCCGTGTCACATGGGGCCTCACGGAAGTGGTGAGAGGGCTGGGGAGAAGCGACAGCTGGTTTTGAACAGATGAGGGGGCGTCGTGTCACAAAAGGATTGGCCTGGTTCATGTGGGCTCCAAATGGAGAACCAGGGTCGATGTATGGAAGTTACGGGGAAATACACAGATTTTGGTGCCACGTGAGGAGGAGATCCTGGGAGCTGTACACAGCCGGGTCTGTGGGCGGCTCAGGGCTCAGCCGTGTCCTCAGCAGAGACCGAAGGGCCCTGTGGCATGGGGATGGTACACGGCGGTTCCAGCATCCTGCCCTGAGAGCCTAATTCTCTGCAGGACCTGAGCGAGGAGGGCGCCTCCCAGCCCCTCTGGGCCCCCTGGATCTGCTCCACCTTTGACTCCTCTGTGAGTTCTGGACACAGAGCAGGTCTTCCCCGTCCCTCTCTGCCACCTGCTGAGGACACTCACGCCAAGCAGTTGTCTCTGGGAGCCAAGCCCAGGAGCGTCTCTTTCTGCGAACTTGGGCCCCGGTCCTCCTATAGCTCTGTGCTTTGCTGGTTTCTCTCCAGGCCAACCGAAAGGGAAAGGACCGAGCGCCTCATCAAAGCCAAGCTCCGGAGCATCATGATGAGTCAAGACCTAGAAAATGTGACCTCCAAAGAAGTAAGAGAACTCTTCCCTTCTCTGCAGGCCAGAGGTCATTCCTCTGTCCGGCTGCGCAGACCTGGTCTTCCAGACCAATCAGTGCACTAGCTCCTGGTGGCTTTCTCCTGTGGGACTTAGCAGAAAGAGGACAGGCCTTAGGGTCAGACTCTATTTTGAACCTAGCCCTGCCTAGCCCTGTGGGGCTCGGGCAGATTTCCTGGGCTCTCTGAACCCGTAGGGCCTTCAGTGAGAATGCCACGAGCCCTCTGCATAGATTGCACCAAGAAGCATTTACCTGCTGGCACCCTCTCCTCTGCTCCACTTTGCCTCACCAGGACGTGAGGCCCTGGACTGCTTTCCTCCTGCTTTTTGATGTTTCTCTGGATCTTATTTTTTCCTTTTTCAGTGGCTTTTTGTTCAAGAAATGCAATGCATTTTAATAACAACTTAAACCAAATAGACCTAAGAGGTTGAAATGGCCATTTTTAAAAGTTACTTACAATCTTTTTATTTAGTAATACCTATGCCACGTTGTATTGTGTTGCCTTCCAAAGCAAGACGAGTCTGATTTTGTAATGTGCTTGGTATTTACTTGTAAAGGTGCAAGTGCTTTAAACGCAGAAAAGGCCCCGTGAGAATCGGATTTCTTATTCGAAACAGTAAACTGTCCCCACATCAGATTGACTTCGAGGCTGAGTAGCCTGTGTCCCTGCCACCCATGCCTGTGGGCCACGCGTGTCTAAATGCAAAAAAAACCCACTTTTTTTTTAAACAGCCACAGCTTGCGTTGTGACTTTACTTCTTGGAGGGCGACGGCTATTTTTTTTGACAAATCACTTTTCCTGATGTTTTCCACTCCACAGATCCGTAATGAATTGGAGAAACAGATGAACTGCAACTTGAAAGAATTCAAGGAATTCATAGACAATGAGATGCTCCTAATCTTGGGACAGATGGACAAGCCCTCCCTCATCTTCGATCACCTTTATCTCGTAAGAGGCACAGCACACCTCAGGGTTTGGCTTGGGGAACGTAAATTTGACCTTGATTGCTTAGAGCAAGTCGGAGAGGGGAGAGCTTACATTACGGAGAGCTTACATTACGGAGAGCGTTACGTTTTGTTACGTTACGGGAGAGGGGAGAGCGTTACGTCATGTTACGTTACGCCACGTTACGTCACGTTACGTCACGTTAGAGAGAGCTTACGCGATCCCGGCTGCACGGGGACTCGCCTCCTCGGGCCTGCCGCCGCCTCGCGGTTTGCCCTGGAGCCAGATGTTTGCGATGTGGCTCCCAGCCGGGCTGTGGGGAGCTGTGTGAAAGCTCCTTGGCGTAGTCAGTTGGCAGCCGTGCTCAGACCCTGGCCCCCCCTTCGCCGCCTTTCATCACTTAGATGCAAACCCCCTCCAGATACCTCTCAGTGGTTTGTGGGCTAAAAACCCCCAGTTACGAAAGGGAGCGAGCTCGGCAAACCCCAGAGTCATGCCTGGGAATCCCGAGGTGTGAGCAACGGCAGGGAAGGCAAACCGGACACCTGCAGGGCCGCCTCCCCTCTGCTCGTCCGGGCGGCCGCTCCGTGCACGGCCCCCAGAGCTACAGAAGGAACAGGCCTTGGTGATGCAACCTCCACTTCTTGCTCAGATTTTCTTAAAGCTGTAAATCTCCATAGAAGGCAACTGGCAAGGTTTCAAAGTCAGAGAGCCTGTGAGGAAGGCACGTTGCTAAAATTAGAGGCGGTGCAGCGTAGTAATGAAAATCGGCCCCACCAGGCCAAGCTCCCAGCCCCTAGCCGGACCAGCAGTGTGACTGGACACGGCCGGGACTGTGGGTCTCTGCCTCTTTTTTCCTTCAGCCTGGACCTCATGGAATGATTATGAGGATTCAGTAAAATACAGATTTAAGGCATTCTGTGCATAGATAAATAGTAACCATCAATAGAGCAGAAGTCACTTCCTGGGGAAGTAAGGAAGTGTATTTTTTTTTTGCTTTGGAAAGCATAACAATTTTGTCCTTTGCCTATGGGGAGTAACTAATAGTCTTCCAAGTGCATGTGTCATGATATATATTTATTATGCTAAATATATATTTAATTATGTATAGTTACCGGCCTGTACACATTCAGTGAATGTGTTAAAATGTACGTAAGTATGTGGGTTTGAAGCCTGTGTCTTGAAAGCTATGGGGCAGCTCTGGGCAGCCCTGGGCTCTGCTCTGCTCTGGGAAGCTGATGGTCCTCCCTGGTGGAGACAGGCCACGAGGCACCTCCAGCCCGTCTGTCCACTAGGTGGCGATCACGGCAAGAAGACAGCGCCAGCGAAGCACCAGTTATTTTTCAGTGTGGTTGGTGCTTTATGTCACTTTTTCCATGAGAGATACCAAAGGAATTTCTCGGCTTGAGCCTCTCCCTCCAGTGCGAAGCCCCAGCTAGCACCCACACGTAGCCAGCCCCATCCGGGTCCCCGAAACCCCTGCCCGCGGAGGGGTCTGCCCTCTGCGCAAAGGAAGTTCACGTGGAGAGTACGCAGGTTTTTTGCTTCGTGAGTTACGTGTTGTTTGCTTTCCCTAAGAGCAAAGTGATGGATTTTCCTTGTTGTGTTTTTTCCCCTCCACGTTCTTTGCGTACTTAGAAACGGAGGGCTTGTTTTCTTTAATACCATTTTTTACGTATTAAAACGTGTTATAGAACGTTAGGAAATATGAGTAAGTCTAAAGAAGAAAAGTAAAGGCATTCTCAATTTTCCAAATCTAGAGGTAGCCTTAGTTAACATTTCGGCATGTTTATTTTTCTATCTTCTGGGTTTTTTAAATGCCTGTGTAGCTTTTTTTTTTTTTTTTTAAGGAAAAGGGAAGGGCTGTACTGTTCGTGTTCGTGTCTCGCTGTATTTGCTTGTCATTACGTGGCGTTTCCCAGGGTCGTTACGTGTCCTCCGAAAGTAGGAGCTACTTGAAATGCTCCATCACGTGATCCATCCTCATTTATTGTACTGATTTCTCCTTGCTGGACCTTTGGGTTGTTTCCACGCTTTTGTTATTATAAATAATCTTAAATGCCCTTCTCCATAAATCTCTGCAAATTCTGGGTATTTCCTCAGGGTAGCTGTTTGTAAGTGGAATTTCCGGGTCAGAGGGGGGGAACCTTCGGAATATTGCCAGCACGCTTCCCAGAAGAGGCAGAGAGACTCCTGCGAGGGTGGCAGTGCCCTCTCCTGAGCGGGAGGGGGGGTCTCACCTCCGGTGAGAGGACCCGCTGAAGGCCCAGGAGAGGAAGTGGTGAGGGGGGCAGGTTTTCCTGACCTTACCCCTCCCCTGTTGTGCTGCCCACGCGGCGAGTGTGCGGGAACCTGCTTGGATACCGGCCTCCGTCGGTTCTCTCTGTCCTCGGAGGCCAGGGGCCATAAAATCACCGTCAGGGCCAGCATCCCCAGAGCAGTCTGAGGCTGACACGTGACACTCACGGGGGGTTTGTGTGATCTGTCCCCCAGGGCTCTGAATGGAATGCATCCAATCTGGAGGAACTGCAGGGCTCAGGGTGAGTCTGCTCCTCTTGTCTTCCCTTGTCCTCCTAGGCAGCCGAGACACCCTGGGCTCTGCCACCCAGGTCGAGCCCTTGAGCTACCTGCCCGGAACGGCCTGCACCCTGGCAGCCAGGGTGATTTGCGTAGCCAAACAGATGCGCTTTAGAAAGCCACCTCCTGAATAATTCATGGTCTGCATTTTCCTGGAGTTTGTGTGATGGCGTGTGTCCCAGAGAACAGTCCTAAATCACAGTCCCCTGGTATGGTGGTATGGACTGCCTGGATGCGGGTAGGGCCACAAGCCCCTCCCCCACCCCACTGCCCACAGAGATGCTGAGAGTCCTGGTGTGGACACACCTGTCTGCTGGGCCACTCAGAAGCTCTGATCCCTGGACCACTCCTGGTTCCAGCTGAACTTGTACTTGTGGACCTGGTGGGTCTCGTGCAGCCAATACTCGGTGTTGGGCAGAAATCCGTGCCTGTCCTAGTCTGAGAACTGCCCAGCAGCAGGAATAAAAAATGTTTAAATCTAGACCTTCAAGAACAGATGTCTGGACATTTTTTCGAAAAAACTACACAGCCACAAAATCACCATTCTGTGGGTCTGACATGATGGCATCCTTGAGTTACTGCATTTGAAAATCAAGACTAAACAAATCTTAAAATATATCTTTAGAATTACTGGTTAAGTTATGTTCTTTCAACAGAAAGTATTCTTAAAATGTAGAGTGATACTGTCTATGCTTTCCATTTTGCTGGGAATAAGTAAATTATTTTAAAGGTATTTTCGTCTAGAGCATTTATAGATATTCATGTATGAAATCTGTTGGAGGTACTTTGAAACTCCTGGTCTTCCAGGGATATACGTATTAATTTTAGAAAGGACAAGACCTGGCTAGCAGACCCTCTCAACTCTTTATTTATTTATAGCCTTCCTTGTTTCAAAAAGGATGTAAAGCAGTTCCCAAGGACATAAATAATGGACAAATATATTCTGCTGTTTAACTATTTAAAACTGGAGACTTTGCATTTCTTAAGGCTTCTGTATGCACATAGTAGTTACGAATTTTGAAACTTCGAGAAAGTTGAAAATGTGTTTAAGTAATATAGGTATCTACTTTCCAGAATTGGCATTGTTTACCAATGCTTTGAACTGTTTAAGTGTTTTTATAAAGAAGTTTGTTTTATATTATAAATATAGTACATTCTCATTGTAGGGCATTTAGAAGATATCAAAAATTTTTTTGTTAAAGAGAAACAAGTCCCACTGTAAAAACACAAATCCTTTATTAATGTATATTTGATTTTTTCTCTGTTCAGTTTTTTGTTACATTTTGTTTTGTAGTTCCTCATCCTGATTCTCCAGATTTGTTCTCTCTTTTTTCTCTCTCTCATTGCAGTGTTGACTACATTTTAAATGTCACTAGAGAAATAGATAATTTTTTCCCTGGCTTATTTGCATATCACAACATCCGAGTCTATGACGAGGAGACGACAGACCTTCTTGCCCACTGGAACGAAGCGTACCACTTTATAAACAAAGCAAAGTAAGTGGGCAGAGAAGCCAAGAAACTGCTCTGAGGAAGACGCTGGCAGATGCTGGGTGGGCAGCCATGAAGGGCAGTCCCAGACACAGGCACTTCCTGGCTTAGGGAGCCGTGGATGTCGATGGTCCTTGGATGGGGGACCACAGGACCCCTAGCACCAGCGGGGCAGAGCTGTCGATCTCCAGGCTGGCCCGAACGAGCTTGTTCTCTCCCACCTGTCACTGACGGTGATGCTTGACCCCAGTCTCATCATCAACACGGCTTCCAGTTAAGAATCCAATACCATGTGGACACTCTTGGGAGCCTCTGAGCCAGAGGAGAGAGAAGGGAGGGCCAGGCTGTATGTGGACTCGGCGCGCTTCTGGGACTGCTTCCCCGGGGGAACATACTCGGGCAGACGCCCCGAGCCCGGCCTGCCCGCTCCACCTGAGTTAGTGTGGTTTTCCTGGGTGAGCGAATGGGACGGGCCGGGAGCCTGTCCCTGGTTTCCCCCAGTCTCTGCACTCCCTTTGCCTTCCTACAGAACGGCTCTGTCTTACCTCAGGCAGGGTTGGGAAGAGAGAAGCCTTGGAGGCCCCCCTCCAGGTCAGAGCCCCGTGACCTGTCTGTACCACCGTGTCCTCATAGTTTGTTTGCCTGCTCTAGGGAAAGACCTCAGACCAGCAATCCCCTCCCCCCCCCCCCCAAAAAAAAAGAAAGAAAAGAAAAGGCCCTGAGATTTGGTGATGATTTTTAAGCCTGAAGTAGGAGAAATGAGTCTGCGCGCACCTGGCAGGCTGGCTGCTTCTAACGTAAATAGGCAGGTGGGCTCACCCCCTGTACAAATAAAGCTTGCCAGATGCCGCGCTTTCCGACCTGGTGTTCCCTTTCATCCTTGAGCGAGAGATACTCAGAGAAACCCTGTGTCTGGCCTTGCTGCATCTGTTAAAGCAGCCACGCCTGGGCCTGCGCCGCCTCCTCACAACCTAGGGCCCCACCCTCCCCTGGCTCCTTTCTGTCTTGGCCCAGAAAGCTGGTGGTGGTGCTGCTGCCCTCGCCCTGGCTCCTTGACCCTCCTGTCTCCCCAGGGCCTTGTGGCTTCCGGTTCTCTGACCCCGTTTTCCTGCAGTAACCCATTCCCTGTCTCCATCTGCTCTAGCTGCTGAGTTATCTTCTGCAGATCTCCCTTCTGCTGCCCATTTGCTTCCCACAAAAAGGGGTTTTGGCCTCCTAGCCTATCCCAGCGATGTGGGAAGATCCCCACTTTGTCCCTGGAGGCAGCCCAATCTTGGAGCTCTCCCTGCAAAACTTGGCTAGGCCAGGACAGATTTATCTCGATTTCCCATTGTGCACTAATTGATTTCGCAGTGAAGTTATTTCCTTTGGAGGGTGGGTGAGCATATGCCGTGTAAACATCAGGGCTGGGAGGATTTGGGCAATGACACAACTTCAGGGTTTGAAACTGCTCGTTGTGTAAAACCTGAGAGAATGAAGTTAAGCTTTTTAAAAAACCCACCCCCCTTGCCCAGGCGGAACCACTCCAAGTGTCTGGTACACTGCAAAATGGGAGTCAGCCGGTCCGCCTCCACGGTCATAGCGTACGCGATGAAGGAGTTCGGCTGGCCGCTGGAAAAGGCGTACAACTACGTGAAGCAGAAGCGCAGCATCACACGCCCCAACGCAGGCTTCATGAGACAGCTGTCTGAGTACGAAGGCATCTTGGACGCAAGGTGGGTGGCTGGCTGGCTGCGGAGCCCTGGCGGGCCTGGGCTCCAGAAGCCGCCGTCTGCATCTCGCGCGGAGGCTTCCACAGCCAGAGCCCTGGCTTGGGGGAAGGGGGCGGGGGCTAGTTTGAGAAAAACAGCTATTGTTTGGCGTGTGACGAGTGGTTTCCAGGAGGGATCTCTTCTGATTTTGTTGGCACGCTCAGCTGTTTGGCCGCTGGAGGGAGCGGTGCCTAACGTCTGATCCGAGGCGACGCCGTGTGCGGCACGGGCGTGTGGGTGCCCCGTTTCCGGAGCGTCCGCTTTGGGCCGCGCGCCATGCCAGGCCGGGCCGGGCCACAGGGCAGTTCCAAGGACTGTGGGGGGAGGGGGGCAGACCAGGCCCCCACACTGGAGCACGCTCGTCAGCCTGCCCCAGCCTTCCTTTTCTCCGTCTGAATTAGACACCAACACCCACTTGGCAGGGTGGTTGTGAGATGGGCACGAATACGGACAGGTTGACCCTTACAAGGCTTTGCTGGACTGGGCTCATAGCAAATAATGATGTAGCTTTTCATACATTTCTCAGCCCCACCTGAAAGGGGTTGCAAAGTACAGGTCATTCCCTGTTAGGCAGGAATACAGAGCCAACGCAGGATGTCTGCTTGTCCCACGTCACGCAGCCAGTGGAGGGCAGAGTGGAGCACGTGCCCAGGTCTGCGGCTTCCGAGGCAGGGCGGCCCCAAGGTTCCCCTGCCCGACGGGGAAGGGTCCTCAGTCACCCTGGGAAGACCCTGCTGGGCTCCGAGACTCACCCCTCCCTCCTCCCAGCCCGTTCAGTCTGTGGGCGGCCTCCCGGGTTATTTCTGACCGGTGCTGGGAGGGAGCCCCAGGCTAGACCTTGTCCTCTTGACCGTGTTTGGGGACGCAGGCACGCCCTGGAAGGCTTGGCCGGGGTCCCAGGGACAGCTCCAGACATCTCACTGTCCACCACAGAGTGGCCAGACGGACCCCCAGGCAGGGCCTTGGCGGGGTTGGGGGGTGCGCCCCTTGGTCCTTCAGTCCCGCACTCCCGTCTTGCCTGTGGTAGCCTAGGCAGGGGTTTCCAGGCTGGGTCCGCCGCTGCCCAGCACTGAGCTCCCACCGCAGCCCCATCGAGGGCCTGCTTGGCCGCGCCCGGAACATGCCCGGGGAGCAAACAGTTGTGAATGGTCACGACACTCTCTCATTGGACACTAACAGTGGATCCTTAATTTACACTTAATTCTCTCTCATCCTGACGCCCTGGTGTTGGTATTGCTCTAAGGTTCGGGAGGTGACTTCTTTACCTTATTTCACCCTCAGCCTTTCTCTTTTCTCTTTACCTTTGTTTTAAAAATGCATTGTAAAACAACACCACAGTATTAGAAGATATATCTTAAAAACTGACTCGTAATCTCCGTGACCAAATATTTGCAGTTTTCTGGAGTCTTCCCAACTTTATCTGTGTGCATTGTGTGCGTGTGTTGCCATAGCAGTGTGAGTGTATATGCGTGAAAGCTTTGCACTGACAGATGGAGAAGCTGAGAGACGGACCATTGAGTGGCGTGGCCAGGTGAGGTGGAACGCTAGGGTCACGGTAGCATTTCAGGCCCAGCCCCCCTCACATGCCTGCCACGCTGTCAGCATGTGGCAGAAAGCCGTTTAAGGCTTCCTTTGAGGGCCACGATGACTTGGGGTTCCAGTGTTGTTTCTCTCCTTTCATTTCTTGGGGACAAATGAACAGAGAGAGGCTTTACCTAAGCGAGGCCCCAGCATCCACGGGAGCCTGGGCTGTCCCTTGCTGGCTCGCCCCCCTGCCCATCTTCCCAGAAGCCTCTGGGGCACTGGCCTCTGATGACCTTCCTCTGCCCTTCCTCCCTCAGCAAACAAAGGCACAACAAGCTGTGGCGCCAACAGACTGAAAGCTGCCTGCAGCAGCCCGCGGATGACCTTGTGGGGTCTGGGGACTTCTTGCCAGAGACCCTCGACGACACCCCGGAAGCCCGGCTGCCCTGCCTGGAAGATGCGGCCCAGCCCGCGTTCCCAAGCAGCAGGGCCCCAGGAGGCGGAGGGCCCTCTCTCTCCTGCTGTTTCCGGCGGCTCTCAGACCCCCTCCTGCATTCCCCCAATGACGAAATGGGCAGTCTGGTCCAGCTGGAGGACCTGGAGAAGGACGCTCTGTCAGAGGAAGCCACTCCGCCAGCAGAGGAGGCGCACAAGCCGGCCAGGCCTCCCCAGGGAGGCCCGGGACTCTGCGAGAAGGAAGCCAAGAAGAAGCCCGAGTCCCGGAGCCTGAAAGCCCAGCGCGGGCCCTCGCCCCAGGTGGAGGAGATGGAAAGGGAGGAGACTCCGGGAGCCGGGAGGTGGGGAAGGTCCCCGCCCCAGCTGGATAAAAACCTGCTCAACCGGGAAAACCTAAATAACAACAACAGCAAGAGGAGCTGTCCTGACGACTTTGAGGTAGGCGTGGCACCAGGGTGGCGTGGGGGCGGGTTTAACGTCCCTGTCACGTCACTTCCGCCCTGCTGCGGAGAAGAGCAGCCCCTCCCAGCCACCTCTGCTGCTAATCCTACCAGTGGGGCACTTCTCGCCCCCAGGGACCTGGGGGTTTGTTTCAGGGAACATCCTGCAGGCCAGTTGGGAATCGGGATGTACAGGCGATGGGGGGTCCACCGGGACAGCACCCACCCCTCCTGCCCTCTTCACCCCACACACCGCGTTCACATTCCAGAAGGGGCTTCCAGTTCCTTCTTTTTCTTTACGTAAAATGTGAAACATATACATTATCATCCCACTTCAACATTTCTCAGTATGCGGCTATTCGTAGTCCATCACACCCCACCCACTTTCTCGCACCCTGGGTGTGAAACATCCCAGATGACATTGTTTCATTCACAGATGCTACAGTATGTGATGTAACCACAGTACCGTGGCCGTGTTTAGGAAACTGGTAGTAATTCCCCAACATCATCAAGTATCTGGATTTGAACTCAGAATCTGATGCTAAACTCCATTAGTCCCATGTAATTGTCATACTCAGCGGGTTGTCTGCAATGAGGTTTTAGCCTCCGCCTGGCAGGCAAACGTAGAAAACCGTGAATCTTCCAGCCTTTTCCCTCTCCTGAGTGGCCCCGTTTTACACCCCATTTCATCTGTTTATTCATCTGTCGTCTTGAGTGAGGCTGGCTCCGTGGAGGGACCTGCCTGCGCCCTGGGCTGGCTCACGCGGCCCGGGCGCCCAGCCTCATTCCCCGTGGCTCCACTGCCCGTCTCCCAGGGCCGCCGCGATTCTCACGTGAGAAAGCGCGCTTGGAAAGCGGGCAGGCTGGTTCCCACACGCAGAGGGTCTGTCGTTACCGCATCATAGTGCAGACCACACCGGGCAGTTGGATCTGCCAGTCTCCAACTCATAAAGCGTTTCCCAAGCCAAGTGTTAATAACTCATGAATTTCCCGTCACTCACCCTTCCCTCAAAGAGCAAATACCGGAAAGATGGATGATATACAACCTCTCAGTCCAAGGCCTTGGTGCCGTGGTGGGTCTGAAATGGCACAGCCACAAGTTGTGGATGCTTAGATAAGGGGGCAAAGGAAGGACACAGTCCTCCTTCCCTGGCCAGAATCGGATCGAATAGGTGATCTTACCTAGGGAGCAGGACGTGTATACGAGCATTCACTCACTTGTTCAACTCATGTGTTAGCCGTGGCCCCAGATCGGTGGGGCGCACAGCTGTGAGTAAGAGGGCTCAGTGCGCATGGTCTTACGATGAATGGCAGGCATGTAAGGATGTAACACAGAGAACTGCAGGTGGTTCTCAGTGTGGGAGGGGATGAGGAGGAGCTGGCCATGCAAAGGGCCAGGAGGACAATCTTCAGGCCCACAGAACAGCAGGTGCCAGGGTGCTCCCTGAGGGCAGAGAGTTTGGCGTGGGCAAAGAGTCTGAGGTGCATTGGGACAGGTGGCCAGGTCACACAGGGTCCCCAGGCACCATGGCAGGGCTCCCCTGTGCATTGTTCCAGGGGCACTGGGAAGCTCCGGGAGAACTTGAAGTGGGGACCCCCCTGGTTGTGGTGGTTGTGGTCCGCCAGCAGGCTGATGGGGCAACAGTGGAAACAGCAACGTGAGGGGATGGTGGCTCAGAAGACGGGTGGGAACAGAAGTGCAGGGCTTGGGAGGCGTTTGGAGGCAGAGCCCTTCCCCAGGAAGGCTTCGTTTTAGACCAGCTTAGGATTCTCCCTGCTCAACAGCTCACGAGGGGAGAGGGTTCGTTCTCCCCACTGCCCCGTTTGCCTCTCTCAGCTCCATCTCAGCGCAGAAGAGCAGCCCTGGTGCCTGTCGCTGGACTGGGGATGGTAAACAGGGATGGAGAGGTGGGCGGCATTCCTCAGGAAGCGATGCCAGTGTATTTTCCGTTGGTGTGTAACAGCCTCTTCGGCCTGGCTTCCTCCTTGGGGCTGTGGGCGTGTCTGTGTTTGGGTCTGAATTAGAGTCTTTCCAAACCCACTTTTACCCTGTGCCACCTCCCTGTTCAGAGCACAGCTCGACGATCGTTCTTTGGAGCCATGCTGTGTTCGTGCCAGAAGGGAAACCTTTCATTGCCAGGCTGCAGATTCCCCAAACGCAGATTCTTTCTTTCTGAAACGGAAAGAAAGGCAGAGGCACCTGCTGTGCTAGAAACGTTCCATTAATTCTCACGGTGCCGTGAAGTCGTAGTTATCCTGCGTTCCAGATGAGACCGAGGTTCAGAAAAGGGTCGTTTTGTGCACGTGGCAGGGGCAGGCATGAGAAGGGAGGCCCTGGCAGCCCTGCCAGCCCTGCCTGCCGTGTGGCCGAAGGCGTGCCCAGGACCATGGGCATGCAGCTTCTGGAAAGTCCGGTTCAGCATCTCTAACCCACACTGGACACAGTTGAGGGGGTTCGGACAGGTCTCTGTCTCTGCACTCAGTGGCATGAGAATGCTGCTGCCCCAGTGCCCACCCAGCCCACCCCTTGCCCTGCCTGTGTTTTGTGGCCTCTGGCTCCTATTGTGTTCTCATGCCGTTCTCGTCCCCTTCCAGCATGATGCTATATTTGGGATCCTCAGCAAAGTGAAGCCCTCCTACAAGTCCTGTGCCGACTGCATGTACCCGACAGCCAGCGGGGCTCCCGAGGCCTCCCGGGAGCGACGTGGGAACCCTGGCGCCCCGGCCATCTGCACGCAGCCCACCTTCCTGCCCCACCTCACGCCGTCCCTGGTGGCCCACACATCCGTCAGGTCCCGCGCTCTGGAGAAGCTGGCCTCTGGCCCAGCCGAAACGCCCCCATTCCTACCACCAGCAAGCCCGAGGAGGCCGGACACCGGTGGCTCTGGGGCCAGGGTTGCCCCGGAACTAACAGCTAGCCTTTTGGAACCTTCCAGAGAGCCCCAGAAAGTTCTGCCAAAGTCCCTCCTTCTGAAGAATTCTCACTGTGATAAGAACCCTCCCAGCATGGAGGTGGTCAAGGAAGAATCGCCGCCCAAGAAAGACGTGAAGCCGGCCAAGGACCTGCGGCTGCTGTTCAGCAAAGAGACCGAGAGGCCGACCACACACAGCTACCTGATGCAGCACCAGGAGTCCATCATGCAGCTGCAGAAGGCGGGCTTGGTCCGCAAGCACACCAAAGAGCTGGAGAGGCTGAAGGGCTCGGCCGCAGAGACGGTGTCCCCCTTCAGGGACGGCGCCAGCAGGCTGGAGGCCAGCATCCCCGAGGAGAACCAGGACCCGGCTCCCGTTCCCCCGCCAGGGGCCCTGGCTCTGCCTGGCCAAGACGGGAGCGATGAGAAGTCAGAGGCCACCCCTGTTCCACTGGAGGGAGCCTCGCTGAAGAGCCCCAGTCCCTTCCTCTGCCGCCTGGACCACACCAGCCACTTCTCGAAAGACTTCCTGAAGACCATCTGCTACACCCCCACCTCGTCCTCCATGAGCTCCAACCTGACCCGCAGCTCGAGCAGCGACAGCATCCACAGCGTCCGCGGGAAGCCGGGGCTGGTGAAGCAGCGGACCCAGGAGATCGAGACCAGGCTCCGGCTGGCGGGACTCACCGTCTCGTCCCCGCTCAAGCGCTCACACTCTCTTGCCAAGCTCGGGAGTCTCAACTTCTCGACAGAAGACCTAGCCAGCGAGGCCGACGTGTCCACCGTCGTTGACTCCCAGGATGCCAAGTTGGGCGAGGCCTCCTTCCTGCAGGAGCCCCGGGCGAGCCCCGGTCACCCAGCCGCCACCTCTAAACCGTCAGGGAAATCTGCCCCAGAAAACTTGAAAAGCCCCTCGCAGCTGAGCAAAAGCTGACCCGCCTTTAGCTCATCACATGACCCCTTAGTTTCACTGTGGGTTTTGGTCGGCTCTTCACGTCTTGATTTCTCTTAAAGGATGGTGTTCTGACTCCCTGCCCCCCCCCCACCTTGCCAGAGGGGAGGAGAAGAAAGAAGCTCGCAGCCCAAGAAGAAGGGGAGTATGCGTTGTGTGGCTGGGAGGACCAGAAGCTGTCGGCCAGCAGGCTCTGAGCCCAAGTCATGTGTTTTCCAGAAGAGTCGTGTCTGAAGAGGAACATAGACAGATATGCACGCACATCAGAAGTTCTCCATTTGCGGCATGCGAGAGGACAGTCGCGGTGACTGCCTCCTCGCCGTGGTGCACGCTCCGACCTCACTCTGGCCCTCGTGGGGAAAGTCTTGGATGGCAATATAAGTCCTACCTCTGTTCTTGCTGAGCTTTTTATTGTTAAAACACAGTGATGAGCAAGGCTCATTCCAGGGAATAATGCTGTGTCAGAAACAGGTTTTCCAAAACGGAGGGGTTTCTTTTTTTTTTTTATTTGAGCCCCCAAAAGTGTTAGGATTTCTGACTTGACTACACCTGCTGTCGTTGGGCCAGCCCCGTGGCGCGCGGAGATCATCTGTGGGGTGCACTTGTCCGTCCCAGCTGTTGTCACGGCCGAGTGGTGTGTGTCCGGCCCGCACTGGGGTCTGGTGGGGGGAAGTGTGTGCGGCGTCTTCCGCTGTTGCTCGTGGTGGATTTGGAATGGCCCCCCGCCTGGGCTGAAGGACCCACCGGGCACTGCCGAGTCTCCTCTGCTGTTGAGCCCCGTAGTTGTGAAGAGTTCTGAAAGTGCCTGGTGGCGGCAGTTGTCCTGAGATGCAGATCGTCCCGCCAGAAGCCCCGGCACTCAAGGTCATTTGGTCACATCTACTCAGTTTTGGGGAGGAAAAGGAAAGTCGAGCAGTGAGAAATGATCAGTTCCTCTCTAAGAGCAACCGAGCCGAAGCTTCTCTGAAAGAAATGCAGCTGTCGAAAAGCTTCACAGGTGTTTACAGTTGCCCATTTCTGTGCGGGGAGGGCGGCTGCCTGTCTCCCTCTGGCTGTTCCTAGTGGCACAGGTGGAGCCCAGGGGGCCCTCGGACCCAGCCTGGGCTCTGTGAGTAGCCCCGTTAGAGTCAGGTGGGCTTGGTGTGCCATGCTGCGGGGGGACTCTGCGCTCCAGTGGAGGGTCATCTGGTGTCGGTCAGCAAGGCGAGATGTTAAAATATTTTGAGAAGGGAGAAAGGGCTTGGTTGGAAAGGTTTATTCAGGGGTCAGCAAACTGTGGTATGTGGTCTCGTGAGCTAAGAATGGCTTTTACAGTTTTTTCAGGGGTTATAAGAAAAATAAACTAATAGGCAGCAAAGACCACAGAGCCTGCCAAGCCTAAGATGTTCATTATCAGGCCCCGCGTAGAAAAAGTCCGCTGACCCCCGGTCTTGTTCGACAGCACAGGGCTGCCCAGGGCCCTCTAGGAAGAACCTGGGCAAATGTGAAGGCCTCCCTGCCTCCAGCCACCTCAGGCCAAATCCACCTCCGGACCCCGACCTCACCTGCCTACCCCCAGCTGTCCCCTGCAGCGTGGCCGGCTCTGTCCACGCGGAAGCGCTCCTGGCTGAAGCTGATCCGCAGGGGCAGCTCGCCCTCGGCTGGGTCGGCCACATTAAGTCAGCGGAAGTACACAGCCTTCAGGGACCAGCCAGGTTCTCAAAGTGGGTGTGAGGCCAGCCGTCTTACGTTAGTCCAAAAGAACCCCCGACAGCCACCACTGTGGACAGGCCCGGGCAGGGGCTGCGGGAACATGTTTCACCTAGTGCGAGAGTTCCGGGGGAAAAAAACCTCTTTCCAGGAACTTTCTCTCCCGGACCTTATCCTTTTCATTGTAGACCTGTATGTTATTTTACTTTGTAGGAATTTGTTTCCCCACCACCGTTCATTGAAATCACATTAAAAGGTGATTGCTCACTTCACTTGAAAACGCTGCTAGGTTTTTCTCCCTCTCTCTCAGCCAACGAAAGCATATTCTCAAAAAAAAAAAAAAATCCAGTTCAATACGTTTTGCCAAATTAAATTTCATGTGGTGGATCAATTTTTGTGTCAAAATAATCCTTTAGATTTGGTGGTGACAGGTTATGTTTCTGCTTTTTTCAACCATGCCTGTGCATGAGAGTGATATATTTTTGAAAACTTTAATTTTGAAAGCCATAATTTTTCTTACCCAGTTAAAGGGCAGGAGGGGGATGACAAATCGGAGTAGCTTTTTGGCTTTTGTCAAAATGATCTATGCATTTTCAGAAGCACAGTCAGTATATTAACATCGAAACAGACCAGGGCCCAGGGCCCCACCATCAGAGCAAAATGAAGCCTCCTCGACCTGGTGGGTAGACCGAGAAAGGGAAGAAGCCTTTTCTCCCAGCCCCAGATGGGTCGGGTGTCAGCGTGCGGCAGAGTCCTCACTGAAACGTACTGACCAGAGCAGCCCGCCGGGTCGCCGTGGCAGAGAGGCCAGGTCGCCATGGCAGAGACACTCACGCTGCTCTCTGCGGGGAGGGTTTGCTCTGGAAGATGCGCCACATCCTGACCGACCTTCTGTTTGTGATCTTAGCCGATGGGGAAGATTCCCAAGATGAGCGGCGCAAGCCAGAGGCAGGGGCGTGTGCCCCGAAAAGTCATTGATGTCGGTGCCTGCCGTGCCCGCCGTGCTCACGGGGTGCCTTTGTCCAATTAGGAGAGAACAAAAATGTCCTGAATCAGCTTGACACCGTGCACTCGGCTGCGTCTCCCCTTCCACCTCACCTGCCCCGCACTGTTGCTCCTGTGGCACGCCAAAAGTGGGGCTGAACCAGACCTTCGTGTGGCCCTGACACAGAGGGGTCACCTGGTCAAGTTCTGTCACGTGTAAGTGGGAAGCCGGTCCAGGAGCGAGGAGAAACCACGCCGCCCTGTGATCATGCTCTGACAGAGCCGGTGTCCTCGCGTCTTTGTCGTGGGGCCATGTCTGTTGTTGCCTGAGCTGCTCGTGGGTCAGTGTGGGGACGCAGGCCAACCTCTGGGCTGGTGACAGTTCTCTGTTAGGTAGTGACACCCCGTCCACCTGGTATGCAGATCACTCACCAGGTACCCCAACAGCTGCACTGCCCAACCCTCTGCCCCACCCCGCTCTCTCCAGCATTGAAAAGCATTGCAGCCCATTCCAAAGTCGTTTCCCTCCTGGGTCAGTAAGCCCAGAGGGTGCCACAGGACAGAGCCAAGTTTGCGATAGAATTAACACCTTCAGGGCGACCCTATACTTCGGCCCTCCTGCCTCTCCACACAGGCCCCATCCTAGAAGGTTGATGAATTCCCGTGCTTCCTGGGGCCATTCCTCCCCATTGGGAACAAAGCTGCATCATGTAGTCAAGATCATGTAAGTGACCTCCTTCAGGGTGTCCCAAGAGGGACTTGCTCACCGTGGCCGGAAATACTCGGTGCCAGAATACATTTCCTCCAATGCTGCTCTGACTTGCCACCCAGCAGGGCTGCCCAGATACACACAGCACAGTAAGGGTGGCCATTTCACTGCTGGCCAGGGAGCCAGGTGGGCTGGGAAAACTGTGACATCCAGACAGCACGGTGCAGGGTCGCCTGCTCTGGCCCCGCCCTGCAGGTTCTTGCCGACGCTGCATGCCAAAGGAAGGTAGGTAGTCGACTGACCCCCCCAGCTCAGTTCCTGGGTCCTTTTGCTTTCTGCTCTGAAATCGAACACCTGTTTGAGTTCACTCTGCATATACATGTTTGAATATGTATATACTTGAGTCATACCGTCATGGGTGTCACCTCTCGTTCACACACGCACTGTCACTGAGCTGTGAAGCGGGTCCCCTGGGGCGATCCGGACCCGACTGCCTTGTTTTGGACTTGGAGGAGGGGCTGCGGCCCTGGCTTCCGTCAGCCCCTAAAACAGGAGACGTTACAACCCGACCACCAGTCCTCTGCCAGCCCCTCGTCAGCGGTGCTGCGCGAGAAGGTGGCCGCCTCCTCCCTCTTTTCCGACACTGTAATTGTTGTTTTACAATGGAGTGCCTTAATAATAGTTTACAAATACTGTGTATTTATGGGAAACTGTTAAGCTCTCACTTTCTGTGATTGGATACTTTGCCTTGTCTGTGGCGGTTGGGGCTGGGGCTCGCCCCGTCCCGTCCCCGTGCTCATCTGCTGTGCAGTCCTGCGCGCGCACCCACAGCTGTGCAAGGAGCTTTGCTAGAAATGGCTCTGGGGGGCTCTGCAGGCGAGGCAGGCACTGGCTCACGCTGCGACCCGGAGTCGTGAGGAGAGACTAGAACTCGGTGTGCCAGCCAGCCGAGGGGAGGGGGTGCAGCCCCAGCCCCGCCCTCCACCCCATCACACAGTTGCGGTCTTCTTCAGTAGAGATTCTTTTTCTTGCCACCTGGGCCACCCTGTTTTCTTCTCTGCTGGTGTCCTGAGCTCTTCGCAACAAAATGCAGGTACAGAACCCTCCCCCGCCCCCCCCAAAATCAGGAGCTCCACAAGATGGGTTGCCCTTCGGTTTTCAGAAGCTGCCAGTGGGTTCTGGTGTGTTGCATAATGATATCAATTTTTTTTATTATATTGTTTTTCTTGTTTTTTATAGTATATATTTAAAAGGCAGTATCTTTTGTACTGTGAATTTGCAGTAGAAGATGCATAATGCACTTTTTTTTTTTTACTTCTGTTGGTGTGTGCTGTATATATAGTCCGTGTGCTTCTTGTGATGAAAATAAACTTTTTCTTTACAAATGCCTGGTGACCTATGAACTTGTACAAATGGAAACTGCCGCTTCAACCCCTGCCAAGGCGGTCAGATGCATCTTCATCACCATGATGCCCGGTCTTGACTGAGCATCTGCTGTGTGCTGGGCCCCGTGTTAAAATCCTGGATGGTTTCATCCCCGGGGAGGAAATAGCTCCTCCAGGAAGTGGCTTTCCCCCCTGATTTTGCCAGTGAGGAAGAACAAGCTCCCCTGTGGGGGGTCATTTGTGTACCCAAAAAAAACTGTCCCCAGCAGAGTGGAACTTGGACTCTGGGTGATCTCTCTCCCTGCACGAGCAGAAAAGGTAAAGCTAGTGGCGTGCTGGAGAGAACCACCTGAGCAACAGACCCTGCACTTTCTGGGAGAGGGGACTGTGGAGGTGATCACTGCTAAGGGCCAGGGCGGGACCCCTGGGGAGGCCCGGGCACCGAACAGGGCAAAGGCTTGGCTTCACGCTCAGGTCCCAGTCCACTGCCGATCAGGACCTCTTGGTAGCTGTCCTCCCTTGGCGACTAGCAAAGCCGGGGCTGCTTGCATTTAAAACCCTACCTTCTTGGAGTTCTCTGCTTCTAGCTGCGCAGTGGGGGGAACAGCATGGGGATTCACATTACACTTAACTGCCTTTGGCTGCACGAAACATCAAGTCTACTCACGTCCCAGTGGGCGCGGCCTGGGATGCCGCCCCACCCCAGCTGCCGGGGGGCTGAGTGCTGACTGCCCACCGCAAGTACTGCGGATCCAGAGAATTCCTCCCCGGGGCTTGTCTCTTCCCTGGACTCGGAGGGATAAACTGCAATGCAAGTTTATTGCTTTGCAACCAGAACGAAAGCTGTGGAGCAGGCCAGAGTACTCTCACTTGCCAGTTAGCACACTGAGTCCTGGGTAAACCTGCATGGGAAGTCACATTGTGGTTAGGAGTTGCTTCCCGAGTACGAGACCAAAGCAGTCGGCCCGTGGGCTGATTCTAATGGGTAGTGCTGTCAAGCTGTAACCCAGCCTTCTCTGTAAGATGTTTTCTAAACAGCCTCTGAGGGTCATGGTTCAGGACCCTGTTCCTTGGCAAGGCTGGACACGCACAGTAAATTCTCTCCAGGCTCCAAGGGCGAGTCAGAGCTCGGGCTGTTTCCGATGGGTTCCCTGGGAATTCTGATGGCCCAGTTTAGAAGCCATTGATTGAAATGGGAATGTGATGCAATCCAGCGGGCTTCCAGTTCACTAGCTGCAGTCACATTCCACACATGCCTTCTGGAGACAACACCCACATCACCCTAACAGAGCATGGGTGTTCCCAGAACGCGCCAGATGCTCATTTACCCAGGGCTCTGGGAGAAGGTCCTAGAACGGGCTGTGTTTACCCTGGTTTCCTTCTCCGAAGAGCAGTCCCGGGTCATGAGGGGTCCCAGATCACACCTCCAGTGGGGGTGGTTTCGCGGGGGGTGCGCCCTTGCTCGGGTTGATGCCTGGGGAAGCCCCTCTTGGCAAGAGGCTTGGAAGAGGCTCCAGCAGGCCGAGCTTGGAGGGTGACTGCATTTCAGGTGGATCGACTTCATGGCGGGAAAGCCCTTCCCAAAGGAGATGTGCGCCCACAGTGCCCAGGTGAGGCCTGCCCAGAACATGTCACCCACTGGTCACACACCCTAGCTCCAGGGAGCAGGAGATGCTTCTGCCCCTTCCATGTGCCCAGTGCTTTACATAAGAACTTGCTTTACATTGAGTCCTCTGAGTGGCCCTATTAACATCATCCTCAGTTTACAGGCGAAGAAACGGGCCTGCAGCATGTCAGTCACCTGCCCAAGGTTACTACTTCCCAGAAGAGGTGGAGCTGCACAGGTACTGCTCCATCCCCACCTGAAACCTCTCCCCAGCCGTCCCCCACCGCAGAAGGAGAAAGAAGCAAGCTGAAACTGCATCTTGATCTCACCTGCGTTTGAAATGAAGCCTCTGGCCCCTGGGGAATCTGACCCACGTGCCTGCTCCCAGGGCTACCTGGGCGACGCGAGATGTTTCCCTCCCCCAATTCGTATTCACCATGCTGTACCTCTCAAAGGGAAACTGCTCGTGGCTCCTCAAGCATACTGCGAAGGATCCTGTTTCAGCCTGAAATTCCTTTTTTTCCGTAAACTGTTTCGGCAAATAAAATGTTGGCGTTTCCACGAGCAGCCTCCCAGCGCATAGAAGGGGGTGGGGGTGGGGAAGGATCTGACATTAAGAGACAAATTCTCCAGCAAGTGGTTGGTTGGAGGTGCGGAGCCCCCCTCTGGGTTTTAAATTGCATATCAAGTGGGTTGGCGATGGTGCTGCCTGGCTCGTGGGACCGATAGTTTGAGAATTAGCCCATAATGTATGCAAACTGCCTTCCGCCTGGCACACCGTACATGCTATTGTTGGTACTGGCAGGAGGGATGGAGGGGAGGGAGATGGAGAGGAAGTAGAGCATCTTTCACACCTATTGCTGAGTGGATCCTCACAGCAAGATATGACCTTGTTTTACAAAAAGGTGGAAGCTCCCGGAGAGGTTAGGTAGCATGGGACAGGGCCGCACAGCCAGGAAGGGTCAGAGACCCAGGGTACCTGACCCCAAATTCACCCACTTTCTACCTCATCGTCTTTTCCCCAAAGAAAATAGTCCTAATGTACTCAGGGCACTCATTAGCAGGTAGTAGGTACTTAGTAAATATTTGATGAGAGCAAGGAGCGGAGTGTGCTGTGAGAATTCAGCACACTCCCAGTTTTACTCGCCGAGGCTCAGGAAGTTGGGGAAGAGCCGTGGCAGCCCAAACTAAGTTCCTCCGGGGCAGAGGCTGTGTCGCAGTCACCTCCAGGACCCCAGCAAGGGCTCTTGGCATGTGGGACTGAACCCCCCCAGGTCAAGGCCAGCAATTTGCTGTGACTGTAAGAATCCTGAGTTTCTCAAGAGTCCAGAAGAATCCGAAAGGTCATCCAGGCCAGGTCTGTTTATAATATCCATCCATTCCAGGATTTTCCCGCCTATTCATGATGCCCCTGCCATGTGCCAGGCTCTGGGGACAAAGTGGGGACAGCTGTCTCATCCCTGAGGTCCTGTTGGAATGCCCCTCTGTAAAAGGCAGGAAGAAAATGCATACCACCTGCCAACACAATGAGGTCAGGCAAGTAGGAATCAAGGTTTATGTTATTTCCCTCCTTTTATCTGTTCCAAAAATATCTGCAACAGAATGATGTTGCCTTTATAATAAACAATGAAAATTTAAAGGCTTAATAAAAGGAGGTTTTTGGCCCTGGCCAGGTGGATCAGTTGGTTGGAACGTTGTCCCATATGCCAAAAACGTTGCAGGTTCAATCCCCGGTCAGGGCACATACATAGGTTACTGGTTCGATTTCCAGTCTGGGCATGCAGTGGAAGCAACCAATTGATGTTTCTCTCTCTCCCCTCCTTCCTCTCTCTCCAAAATCTATAAACATATCCCCAGGTGAGGATTAAAAAATAAGTTAAGAGGAGGCTTTTGTAGTAAGCTGAAATTTGCACTCTAAGCTCCCAGGCTTGTGGTTCGAGGACCCTCAGCATTGTGGGAGAGGGGCTTTTCTCCCCCCGTTGGGCGGCACGGGTTCCCTCCAACAGAGGGATTGCTCTCAGATCTCTGTGGCTCCACGGTGCCAGGCAGGCTCACCATTGTGGGCCGTCAGCTTCTCGTGCCCTCTCTCTGAGCATGTGGGGGGCTGGCAGCAGAACCGCACGGTGTGATGGTGCAGTATAGCACCCGGGGCTGCCCTCATAGGCCGCTGCACAGGACTCCACACTTACAAGACCCTGCAATTGGTCTAACGCTCTGTGGTCCCTATCTTAAGATTTCTAATAATTCTTTCACAAGGGCCAGACCTTTTCATCTTGCCCTGGGCCCTGCAAATTATGTAGCTGGTCCTGGCACTGTCTCCACACTGGTCAAGGGCTTTGGAGCAAGACAACCCTGGACCTTGCTGCTTAACTCACCCACTCTGTGACCTGGAGCAAGTGTCTTAACCTCTCTGTGCCTCAGTCACCTCATTCAAAAAACAAGAATAACCTCAGACAGTTGTAAAGGTTAGCACTGTGTAATTAGCACAAAGTAAATACCCCTGAAATGATATATTATTTGCCTTATAAAATACTTAGTCCAGGTCCTAGCCCAGAGCAATCCCTCGGTGAGTAGTTGCTATTATCATGGGGAAGACAGAGGTCACGCCCACAGACCAACCCCACAGCCTGAGAGCCGCTCTTCCCACCTGCTCCCTTAGAATCGCCGCTCTGCGGGACAGAGCACATGCAAGCTCCCCAGACTGGGAAGAACTCGGCCGGGGTGCGCCTGGGCATCCTCCCCCTCCCCTGCCACCGCCCCCAAGGAGGATGCTGGCTCTGCCTCTCTCCCATAGAAGCACCATTTGTCCCCAACATGGACCCCAGCAGTTCTACCCAACAAGCTTTTGGGCAGGGGAATGCGAGGGCAGCCTGGGAGCATGGGTTTGTCCCTGCAGCAGTCCAGAGGTACATCCTGTTCTGGCGTTGCCATGGCACAGCCAAACATCTGCCACAACAGACGGCTGGGGCTGGCGGCTGGCAGCAGGGCCCTGGATGGGTGAGGGCCTGGATAGGCACAGAAGGAAGGGGTGGAGGGGGCGCAAGACCCAACAAGACCTGAGTGTGGGAAGGAACCACCCCCCCCGAACACACACACACATGCACACATGTAAGGTGGCCTTCCAGGACAGACAGACTTCCCATAGGGAAGAGTTCCCAGTTCTGGATTTTCTTCCTGGAGATCTGGGGGCAGATCCCAAACGCGCAGCGCTGGCAGGACTGGGCCCTCCTGAATTCTCCTGGTCCTACTCACAGCCCGGCTCCAGGAGCTGCCCAAGGCCCCCCAGCCTGCTCCTGAGATGGAATTTGCTTTCCTGGTTACTATTGTTTTTCCTTGTTAGAAAGTGAAACGCATTCATTGTATCAAAATCACATGGTCTAGAAGAGCCACAGGA